TTTACACATAAAAAGTTCTATATAATACGTGCAGTTTGGAGAATAATTTGGTAAATCATGAGAGGGTTCACTACGCCTACGGCCATACCACATTGAAAACACCGGTTCTCGTCTGATCACCGAAGTTAAGCAATGTCGGGCCGGTCAGTACTTGGGAGGGTGACCACCTGGGAACACGGGTGCTGTGGGCTGTTACCTTTTAACTCCGCCTTTGCCAGTCCCAAGCCCAGATGAAAAAGGAGGAGGGGGAGCAGTAACAAGCTCACTAAAAAACCTGGGCTCAGCTGGCCCGGCTGATAGTAACCTGTAAGGGCTCCTAACCCAGGGATACAGGATGAGCAGCGTTTGTACTCCATGTTAGGAGCAGCTGCACATGGCATCTGTTCATGTCAGAGGCGGCCATTTCTTTCGGAGCTAATTCGGCCTGCCACTGAGTAGTGCTCCCAGTCTTAATGACAAAGGCAGACGCATTCTACTTCACCCAGTCATGATGGTTGTGAAGCAGACACCATCAAAAGTCTCAAGCTTTACAAGCTTGATACCCTAATATGATTGAGTGGAGATAAGAAAGAAGAAGACTACTGATGAACCAAGCCCTCTGTTAGGTCTGCAGAGGTCATTATGATTTAATGTCCTTCAAACCTAAGTTCGACTTAGTAACTATATGAACAGATATCTTATTTAATCTGTAAATGACTATCATTCACAGCTAATTTAGTGACTGGTAGCTTTCTTGGTCTCTTCTTGCCAGATCTTTACTGGTTCTTCAATTTTTCTCAACCCTTTTTACTAATCCATTTGCTCTTATTGTGTCCGAAGTAGGTCAATCTTTGTTTAAATGTTTGGAATTCTAGGGAACACCAGGATTAATTTTATTTAAGATTGAAATATCCAAAAAATATATATAAATGCTTAAAAATTTGATTTTAAAATGAAATAAGTACCATCTATATCTCTATTCACAAATAGTTGATTACCTTTTTTACAGTTGTCCGACTTCCTGAGACATAGGATGCAAACAGCTATCCTGATTGGACTGTCCCACCTCAATCCTATGCCAACCTCAGCATGGAACTTCCTGGTTCTTCTCTACATACCACTCAGGACGAGAGTTCTTGGCACTAATCTGTGCTGGAAAACCTGGGGTAGTTGGCATTCTGAACTTCAGTAGAGAACCTGGTTTATATAGTTGTCGGATTAGGACAAAAATTGGTGTACGTGAAGAAAAAGGTTTAAAATTGCAAAACAATTAATTATTTTATTCCAGAGTTTGTCACAAATTGAGAGTCAATATGTCATTAGACTCCACTGGCCTGGATGCAGGTTGCCACCCGGTTTGTCATAGACTGATGAAGATTCTGGATTCGGGCATTCTGGTTGCAGGATTTCTTGCTAAATTTTCTCCAACTGCCAGACTAAATAGTCAACATTCTGGGATGGTTGCAATGGCCTTCCTGTCATGTCCCAGATGTGCTCTATGGTTGAGAGATCAGGCCATAGAATGTCATCTACATACAGTTATGCTGTTAAGTGTGCCAAGAATGAATACCAATAAGGTCCTGCTATCAAATGTAATTTCACTCCAGACCATAACGCTCAGTTGTGTTGTTCAAAAGTAAGGCCAGGAACTACATGTTGCACAGGATGTCTCCAGACACATTTGCAAGGGTTGTCAGAACACAGTAAGAAATGGGACTGGTTGCTAAAGACTATATGTCCCCAGTCAATGCAGTTCTAGGATTGCTCTCGACACTACTGTATTGAACTTGTCTGTGTTCAGATGTGAGGGGTACACATTGCAATGGTCAGCAAGCTCTTATATTCTGATAAGTTGTCTGTTGATGGTAATTTTGGAGACTTGGGTGCCTGTCAGATATTGGATAGTATATAATATTGAATCTCTGCTGCTGAGACAGCCGTTCTGACAATCGCTCTGTTGTGTCCCTTGGTAGATCACAGCTGTTACATCCTTCCTTTGTTGACCCACTCTTGTCATCTAATAGCCACAACACTTCTACACAGATATTGAATGATCAGTTGATTAGATCAACCTCTTTCAATCCAATGGCACAACCTCTTTCAAACTCAGACATATGTTTGTAATGAGCATGAATCTCTTTCCGAGGCATTGATACAGTAGAGAATTAGACTGACTGCAAAAAAAAAAAAAATTATTACCTAAATTTTGAAATTCAGCTCGTACAACACTCAATACAGTCTAGAATACTTATGCTGAATGTGCAGTCCAGATGAGCTGGAGCTCTTGCTTTGCATAAATCGGCCAACAAATTTCAATCATTTGTATGTTTGGTCAAAATGTCTTTGTATCCATATAAATTGGATAATCCTTCTTGGTGCATCAATTTTTGTTAGTGTAATTCTTACTCTCTTTTTAAAAAACAAATTCAAAATTTTCTTTCATATTTGAAATTAACTTTTACTGACCTGACTGTAATGGTCAAAATCTGTATTTTAAAGAAATATTCTTATTTTACTATATTTTGGTGAAGCAACAACAGGAGATGTGGTGGGGAATACCATGGACTGAGCTAGCCATGTCCAGCTGTAGTGTTGGAGGGAAGGAAGACTTATTGACAATTTGGTGAGAGAAGCCCCTACAATACCATCAATAGACTTGAGTGGATGGGCTGAGAAATATAGTTTTAAGAGAGTCGAGACAGACTTTTAACAAAAAAAAAAATTGAACATGTAAGAGCAAAAATGTAATAGTTGAATAATAGAAAGTAAAAATTAAGAGCAGCTAAGTTTTTTAGAATCCAATAAAACTAGCTTGTAGTCTAATAGATGTAATGGAGAGAAGAAACAACACACACAACCATCATATATATATGTATAACCACAATATAATAAAATTATAAATTCTTTATTAAATAGTTCTTTCTTAATAATAATAATAATAATTAAAAAAATTACAAAAAAGAGGAGATCACAGGTTGAAGGGGCAGAGTTGGATGAAGTGGAGGACATCACGGTCTTTGTCCCCGCGCAGGTGGGTCAGGCAGCTGGTGAGCAATGCCGTGTTGTGGCGTTTGATGGCCTGGAGGTAGGAGGCTGTGATATTGCGTGACAGGACCCGCGCAACTGCTAGCCTTACATTGGCCACTGGATCCCAAGCTAGCCGTAACAGCAAGGGAGCAACCTGGCTGGCAAATCTTTCTATGGGGAGGGCTCTCTCCTCTACAAATTCCTCACATAGGAACACATACCTGCAGCAACACGTATCACCAACTTTACTTGGATGGACAAATGGTACATTTAAATTTTTAAAATATTTATTTTTTTATCATCTTGTAGCGTCAACTTCCTTATACAACACTTTACCTCTCAGCTGGAGTTGTTGTTGTTTCTTATCCCCTTGTGTAAAGATTACACGAATTCCATGAGTTCATGCTTCTCGAGCTGTTTTATGATAAGCAGCGGCCTCTCCCAAAGGTCCTGTTTAGTACATCTAATGCAAGCCAAAATGTGTTCTGGAGCTGCAGGTGCCAAGCTACATTTTGGGCAAGTGGGGTAAATTTTTAAATTATTTTCTATCTTCAATGGCTTGAGATGGCCTGTTCTAAATCTTGTTAGTGTTGTGGCTCGAGAGTTTTGAATGGAATTTGTGTACAATATATAATAAATGAAACAAAATATATGATTTTAATATTGAAATTATATTGTGCTAGATTATATATGGAGCGATCAGCAAATAAACCTGATGAAAAAATATATATTTCTCTCCCAAGTATATGAGGAAGGACACATTAGGTCTTTGTGGTTAGGTGTTCCCCTAACTGCAGCAACACTTGTGTAATTTACAAAGAAATGGATGGATTGGCATATTCAAATTTAACTCCTTGGGTGGTTTCCTGCCAATTGAAACACATCCTGTGATAGCCTTGTGCACATTAAAAGGAAGAGAGACCACTTACATCTGGCGACGGGTCCACTTGGGGGAGGAATAAAGCACCTCTGCCAACTGCTGCAATACTGTTGCCACAAAGTTGGGCTGGTTGCGGAAGCGGCAGAGCTGAAGGGCAATGAGCTTGGTGGCGGTTTTGGCGCACCGTGAACACGCTGTCTTTGAGCAGGGCAAGGCCAATGGGGATGATGAAGTCCAGGACTTCCTGCAGGGGTAGAGCTCTGCTACATTCTGGAGCTGACTGGGAACACACACACAGCACAATGTTTCTTCTTCTTTCTAACCCAGGCAATAACTTTTGTTATCAATTATTTTTACTGAGGATGTTTAGGCCAATATAGCAGGCTTCCATTGTGGGAACACTAGGTTGCTTAAAGGAAGTAAAAATAGCACTAGGAAGGGAATTGTAGAGGTATTCCGCCTAATCAATTCTGGATATAAGAGCTGGAATGTCTAAAAAAAAAAAAGATGAACGAAAAATAATTGAAGCTTTTGAAATGTGGACATGGAGAAAGCTACTCATAGCATGTGTGATGGACAGATAAAAAAGACAGAATATTTCAATCTTAAATGAAATTAATTTTATTAGATGCCTAGATGCCAAATATGTAAATACTTTGGATACATAATGAGAGCAAATTATTTAGAAATGCAATGAACTGGCTAGGAGTCAAGAAAGCTACTTGAAGATCATTAGGTAAGCTGCGAGTTATGGTCACCAAAAGTCAAACTTGACTTGAAGGATGCTAACAACAACACTAATGCATTTACTCAAATACTTAATTCATGCATCATCTCCTTATTAAACTTCCAAATATACCTATTTCCTTTTTCCTCAACTTTTTTTCCGAAATTATCTGTAAATGCTAATGAAATACAGCATAAACTATTTAATTGAACTGGCTATAATTTACTATAATTCAACCCTTCCCTCTCTCTTAAGTGTTGATAACAAAATGTTCTAGAAAAATGTTCCCTAGAAGTGTGAAGAATTGATAATCATCTTTACCTACTATAATTCAATTGAAAATTCTGATCCCTTGGAACGCTTCACGATTTTGCGTGTCATCCTTGCGCAGGGGCCATGCTAATCTTCTCTGTATCGTTCCAATTTTAGTATATGTACCGCCGAACTTTGAACTATTTTTTTCTCAAGATTTAAAGTTTGTCCTCAATCCTATTGTGAAGAGTCACAAATAGAACACTAAACAAATTAACAGGATTACAGTACCTAATATTTTTGGTGATCATAACTCTCAGCTTATCTAATGATCTTCAGGTAGCTTTCTTGACTCCTAGCCAGTTGTTCATTGCATTTCTAAATAATTTGCTCTCATTATGTATCCAAAGTATTTACATATTTGGGCATTCTAGCATCTAATAAAATTAATTTCATTAAGATTGAAATATTTGTCTTTTTTTATCTGTCCATGACACATGCTCCGAGTAGCTTTCTCTATTATTCTTACAAAATGATATATAATATGTGCTAATAGGATATATTGGATGAGGGAATGGCAGCTGAAATTTGCTACTGTAGTTATTTAAACAAGAGTTGCCCACTACACTTACTGTGCCAGAGCCATGCGGTATCTCCAGTTATTGCGGTTCTCCATCCTGAGGAAGATGGAGAGGTGAGTGAGGACGGTATGTCTGTCTTCTGGAGACAGGGCCCTGAGGAAATGGTGCAGGTGGCCCAGGAGGGCACTGCGCACCTCATCCAGGTCGTTCAGGAACACCCAGAACGCCGGCATGAGGTCGGTTGAGGCTAGGGCAGGGCCCAGGATCACAGCTAGATGGTGGATGGATGCAGCGAGGGACCGTCGCACTCGCCATTGGACATCTTCCACTAGGGTTAGCCAGGTCACACGTAGACAGGCCCAACCCTCTTGCCGCAGGGTGAGCGCCACAGCTGGCAGGCCATAGGCACATTGGCCTGACAAACCTCCGGCCTCTCCTGCCATGCTGATATAGTGCTCCAGGAGTTGGCGAGGCACTACACCCTGCATCAGGGGCTTGTTTATACTCTTGCAGAATGCAACAACAAACTTTGTATAAGTTGCTATATAAGTGTATCAAAATCTAAAATAAGAACTAAAAATGCAATTAATCAATTTACAATCATGGACAAAACTTGAGAAAGTTTTACCTTTTTACCATGTATATTGGGATTCTGACAATATCTCTTAAAGATACACATTCACACATCTTTATTGAGGAGACACGGAATAACCAAGTGTGAACAAAATTGCATCTGTCTCCTTCAAAAAACTGTTGACATCAAAGACTTTCCACTTCCTTAAGTTTTTCCCCTGAGTGTACTTTGAAAAGGTTCATAACCTTTTTAAGAGTTTTGTTCCTCTACAGCTCCTATATAGAAGACTGAAAATCATTTAATTATTAAAATTCATCTTAGCACTGGTTTTGCTATTTTAACATGAGTCTTATTATTAATTTATGTGCTAGCATTATCCTACTTGGTTATTGTAACAACAGCCAATGTCTGGAGACACATCCCATGTAATAGATCCAATTGTGCTGACTTCCTAGCAGCAACTAGAGGATTCAGTGGGGGTAGAATAAACTCACCTGAGTGGGACTTCTACCCAGGTCCCCATCATTGATAATTTTGCCGAGCTCCTCGAAGTAAGGCAGCAGCTTGTCGCTCAACTCTACTGGGTTCATGTGATGGTAACCAATGGTGGGGGTGAGGGAGAAGTCCTCCAACCTGGTGATCAGCTCCATGGCCTCCCTCACCTCCCGCGGAGAGGATTTTCTCATGGGCCTGACTATGCACACGTTGGGCTTCCCGCCCACCAGCATGGACGGGTCTACCTCTGGCAAGGGCTCCCTCCAGTACTGGAATGTGTTGAAGGCCTCATCTGGCAGTTGGTTCATGTTGGAAGACTGCTGGGCTTGGGTGACCTCCGCACAGAGCTCCTGAAGTTTCTGGAGCTCCATGAGAGAGTGGTCTCCTTCCTCAGAAGGTGGCAGTGGGGGTGGGCTGAAGCTCAGGGGATCAACAAATGTGGAAATGAAAGGCCCCAAAGATTGGTAGGCTGCAGACTTAACCTGAAGACAAAAATTTGACTTTTTACAATAAAATACCAATTTAGATTTTGTTAAAAGGCAACAAACCAACCTAGTAAGTGCATTGTGGGGTGACAGGAATGGTACTCACATAGTCTGTGTCTGAGAGCAGCTCCAGGAAGAGTGGAGCTAGAGTATGATGACGTGTGGAGAGCTGGCACACCCACGAGATCTCCATGAAGTCTTCGGCACAACAGCGGCGGATCTCCCATTCATTGTCTCTGCAGAGCTCTAGGAACTTTGGAAGCTGCAATGAATCTGTTTAGAATATTTCCAGCGGAGAGAGAAGGATAACTCACCAGATGGGACTCAACCAGCGCAGTACCCATCACATTGCACATTTCAGCCATCTTGATTGCACAGGCTTTGCGCATGGCAGGCGAGGGGTGGCTGCAGAGACGGAGGAATTGTGACAGAAAGAACTTCTCTGTCAAATCTGGCCCAACTAACGAGGCAACCTTGCACAACAACTAGAGACACAGTAATGTCAGTCAGCGCAACACAGATAGGTTTAGAATAGTTAAAAGGCAAAGATTTCAAGCTATCCTTGTGCCCAGATGGCTCCCTTTCAACTAGTGTCAATTTCATATTATGTATTATATTATCTACCAAATAAATGGTTATCACAATATAAGCAAGTTTTTTTTTAATAGGAATTATATCTGAAGCTCAAATTGTGAACACAACTCCTGATTGCCCATGGGTAAATATTTATCACCCACCTCTATGTAAGTGGATGGCACTATTCAATGAGATTGCTTCTTTAAAATAAAAGATCATTTCTAGAATCATATTACATTTATAACTAGAATACCTTGTTGGTTCAGGATCCATGAATTTTATTCAATGGACTTAAATATTGTTACCCCAAAATTAGATAATACAGAAATTGACTTTTTTGTGAAACTAGCAGATTAAGGTCGGTGACAAAGCCATAAATATCTGTAAAACTCTCTTTGCATATGCTGAGAGTTCACAGAAAACACAAAAAAAAAAACTGATCAGCTAAATCAACAGTCCCAAAATATGAATCATGACAGCAGTCAGTGGAAAGCTAGCTGTTACTTTGCCCCAGAGTGTGGCTGAAGAATGGCTGAGATCTCATTCAACACCCAACTTGGTGTCAATCAATAAAAACGGCCATTAACTTGGTTTTAAAATGAGATAATTATTCTGCATATAAAAACCGGGGGAAACAATATACCTTCAGACTAAGAGAAGAATTGAGACAGTAAGTTCCTCTCCTACTAACCATTATAGCGTGGAAATGAAATTAAATCCAAACAAGGTAATTAAGAGTTTGATGAAATAATTAACTTTTTGATTGCAAAGGAATACTAAGATGTTGAAAATTTTTAAATTGTAGATACAACAAGTTTTGTTGTATACAACTTTGAACCAAGTCTTGTCCTCCCCACACCAAGTTTCCATCTTTACTTTATTAATCACACAAACCATAGGCTTTATTAACTACAAATAGTTACAAAACACTCCATATCTGCCAAAACAGTCAAGTTCTAAGATCCAATTGGGGAAGGGAAATAATTAGGTTGAAAATTGATCAATACCTTCTCTGCAATGTACACTGATGCGAGCCACACAATTTACAAGGGGGTCGGTGGAAAGCTGGTTACACCGTTTGGTTTTCGACCACTACGACACAGGTTCGATTCCCGCATTGGACACTTTTTTTCCCGATTTTATAAAAAAAATGCTCCAATGGCCCCCGATTCTTGCAAAAGTCCAACCCCACCAGCGTAGATATGTGTAGACATGTGGTGCACTTACAGTAAAAGCAGTCATTAACCTCTACCCACCATGATTATCATGGCCTGGCCACGTGTTACTAGGGATAAGCAAAAAAAAAAAACACAATTTACAAGTGTCCAAGAAGCAGCTACTACCTACTATAGCTCCCAGTTATAATATTCTATAGATATAATCAGTATTTTGTGATCTAAGTGTGCTGCTGAGAGAGATGTATTATTCAATATTAATATATTGTGAAAGACTGAAATAGATGGCAACCTCTCTATTGTGCTAATGCCAAGTGGTATAATGAGACTTTAATAAAGTATATGAAAAATAGTGAAATTGTACTGGACCAGATTAAGACATCTCTTTATTTTGCCAACTCTGCAATTATTTAAAAAAAATCAAAGATAAGTTGATATTTGATCCGACAGATTGTGAAAGCCATCAACAACAGTTTGCACCATCAGAAGATACTTTTCTTAAAATGTATTAACCTGATTCCAAGTACAATTTCACTTTTTTTTTTGTTTCACTATGGTTTGGCATTCTCACACACTTAATGACAAATACCCATTCCTTGATTTTTTTTTACCAAGTCTAAAAGACCAGTTTTTTTGGTCATTAAGGTACAGCCTGTACAACGCTGATGAGGGCCAAAAGATTGAAATTGTGTATTTGAAGTTGCTTGATTAATCAAGAAAAGGTATATTGGATAAACCGTTTGGTTTTCGACCACTACGACCCAGGTTCGATTCCCACATTAGACACTTTTTCTGTTAAAAAAAAAATGCTCCAATGGCTCCCCCGATTCTTGCAAAAGTCCAACCCCACCAGCGAGTGCAAGTAATCAAACGGGGGCTCTGGCACATTTGTAAGTGCAAAGTCGAACTGCTTTTCACATGTGTAGACATGTGGGGCGCTTACAGTAAAAGCAGTCACTAACTACCCACCATGATTATCATGGCCTGTACCCCCGTGTACTAGGAATAAGCAAAAAAAAAAGGTATATGGGCATATCTAGAATAATGATAAAAATCAACTATTAGGTGGTATTTATTGTGACATATCAGCAACTTTTAGTTGCACAATCAGGATGAGATGGCTTTATTACTGTACAACCTCATCCTACTAGGGATAAGCACAACTGGCACAGATTCTAAAGAAAGGTTCAGGTGGGAGGCGAGCACAGAGAGAGAAATACCTTGTAGCTGAGGAGTCCTTAGCCCCTGAGGGTGTTCATCAAAGCTGGCTGTGATACGATTGGGTCGCAACACATCATCAGCCACTTTGACGATCATGCTCGGGAGCACTGTCGCGTAGGGAAGACATCAGGAAAGGGGCCTCACTCATCAAAGATGGCTGTGATATGATTGCACGGCATGACATGTCACCGCCACTTTGTGAGTGAGGACCCTCCTGGCTCTGGTGGTCGGGGCGGACGACAGCGTTGATGAGGATAGGAGCAGCGGGCTCATCAAAAGTGGCTGTGATATGGCAAGCATAAAACGCATCTCACAGCCCCTTTGACGGCCCGCCACACTCTACTGCCAAGACCGTAGGTCGCCGGACTCCCCGTCAAAGACAAGATAGTGAGATGAAGGGGTCGGCCACACATCTCACTACCCATGTCTTTCACGGCGAGGTCTCCAGCATCAACCCAGTTGGAAACCAACCAAGTTACACAGCAGAAGTAGCAAATATATACAAGAATTGGCAACAGAAGCAAAAAAAAAAAAGGCCGAGACTTACCAGAAGAGCTTCGAGGCGCCTGTCCTCTTCTATGGTCTCCTCCCCAGCCTGCATGGCCACCATGGGACAGAGCCACTCCTCCAACATGGCTGAGGCAATAAGTTAGCCATAGGTGACAGAGAACAAACACCAACTAGACTTACTCTTGTGCACCAGCCCTTGTTCCAACAGCAGGAGGAATGCATTGTGACTAGACTTCCTCACCTACACAGCACAAAGTCAACTATGTAATAAGCAACCATTACTCCATTTAATTCCCTAACAAGTAATTTACATGCAAAGCTTCAGTACCAGCAATGCTACCATTACTAGTCTTGTAGGATGGTAGCAATATAACAACCTATCTTGCCACTCCATATCTGAAATCCAAATTGGCATCTAAATCTGTATTATGAAGTAGCACCAGTCCCCTCAGCACCATTCAAGAAAAAAGAATGCTAGCCCTAGTATTATGGTAAAACACAGATAGATAGGTAGGTAGGTAGGTAGGTAGGTGGTAGAAATAGTTACCGAGGGGCAGGTCGTCCGAGAAGACATTAACCAGGAGTGGGATGAGGTGCTGGCGTATCAAGGGCCCCAGAATGTTCTCCCGCTGGTGGCAGAAGACAGCCACGTGGGGGATTTGGTTGATGAGCTCTACCCTCACATTGGTCTCTGCCCACACACTGCAGCTGAGGCAAGAGCCCCTCTAATGTAAACTATGATAAGATAAAATATCTGTTTACATTGGCAGACCTCCTCCGTGGATGCTCTTGCCCACTACACTTGCACGGTGGGAATTGTTAAAAAGTATCTCAATATTGGCATATCTCCCGCTACAATATCCTTAGCTTTACCTATTTAGTAATAGATTTTTTGATAACTAAATAATCAGGTGCTAGCCTATTTCATTTTAATTGAGCTAGAGAAAAGAGAAGTCAAACCTATCCAAATCAAGCACACAAATTTCCAAACAAAAATGTAATATCACAGAGAAGCTGTTGAAACTATTATTACAGAAATTATCATGTGAAAGATGCAGGACAGAGCAAAGTCGCATATAATTATAACTACATTTTAAAAACAAGATTATAATGACACAATTTGCTTTATATTTACAACAAAAGTTTTCAAGAAAGCTTCGGATCATCATCCTGTAACAAGATGCCTCAAGTATCCACTGGGAATAAAGAAAACCAAACGATATGTAAATATATCTATTGAAATCCAAAAATAGCAAATCTTAAATCTAGTTGATCGTTCAATTTAATCATATTGTAGTTAGAGTGAAAGATGCCAAATAGCAGTAAGATATGCAGGAAATAACTCAATCAAGATGCATCCAGGTATTACTGTATATTCTTTAGAGAATGCAGGACAACATCCGAATAAAAGTGCGACAAGATCTGGAGGGGAACCTATCAAGAAAGCAGAAAAACTAATCAGGTGGAAATATATTTCAATTATTCTTCTTTCTTATCTCCACTCAATCACACTAAGATATCAAGCTTCTAAAGCTTGAGACTTTTGATGATATTTGCCGGGGAAGAGTAGAGTTCATCAATGGATGAGTCAATACAGTCAATAATGTCTTGGGGTTGCAGGCTGAGAATTATATCAATTATTGTAAAATATTGTAAATATCATTTGCCAGGATACTCCAAAAGTTGCTAAGAAAACATTGGGCATACGTGAACATCAAAAAGAGTGATACTGTTGAGAGGTGCCAGATGGCAGTGGAGATGAAAGTAACCAATGGCAATCAAATACCATATATGCATATGTGTAGCCATCTTCTATTTGATAATAAACTGCCTTAATTCTAAATGCCATTTGCTAGTGATGTTACTCAGTGACACCAAGCTTTGTTTCAGTGTTTGTGGAACTCCAACCTATTGTGTCAACTGCTTCTTTTTATGTAGAAATAACATCATGGCACCCACAGATGGTCCAAAGTTTACAAAACAATTGTTTCAAACTGCTCAGTGAGGAAACAGCCAAGGTTCCAGGAGGTTGGGGTGGGGAAGGAACAAGGTCAAGCGTGCCGACGGCAGCCAACCTAACGACGCTTATTTATTTAATTTGTTGGTGGGGGGGGGTTTGGGTGGTGGTGGGGGGGGGGGGGGGGGGGGGGGGGGTGGGGGGGGGGGGGGGTGGGGGGGTACGTGCCGTTACGTAATGTGACCGTATTACCTGGATTGAGAGAGAGAGATCGGCAAGGTCACGTCACAAAACCACAGCTTAAGGCGGAAACAAATGCCGACCTTCCCCGCCCTTCTTTCTACCGGTACACGCGCGTGTGTATTCCCTCCGCCGCTTTTTTTTTTATACATATATATTATTAAACAACTGATCCCTCCCTACCCAACCAAAGGATTGGAGGTGAGGGGGGGAACAATACTTGTTAGCGGAACCCCCCCCCCCTCCCCTCTCGCAGCTGGGCGAGCACGCGACAGCTGCACGTTCTGGGTCTCCCCAAATTTAGAACACACGTGCCACCACCATTCCTGGAAGCCGAAACTGTCACAATGTTCCTAAGGAAAGGAACAGTGGGATTGAATGAAGGAAAACTGCTATTTCAATGAGAACAATTATTTTCCCTAAAAATTTTGAAATTAAAAAGAAACCTATGTCACTGTAGCACAAGTTAGTACATTTTCCCAACTAAAATACCTAATAAACGGTCATTACATTACATAAAAAGCATCCCAATGTTTTACGAGCGTTACAGAGTTCAAGTGTACCTGGATCGTGGATAAGGCGGCCCATGACGGCCATCACACTGTTGACATCGTCGAGGTTGGGCCACACCGCCTTCAGTGTCTCCAGGATGTTGCGGGCCTCCTGCTGCCTGAAACAATCACCTTATTGCCTCAACCTTTCCTGGCGATCCACAAGCTGGCATATTGTATAAAAGTCCAGAGAGCAGTGAGAATTCGAGGTATGTTTCCGACTAATTTAGGATACTTTATACAAATCCATACAAGGATAATTAGTTGGCCTTTATTGGCATAACTTTGTGTAAAGCCATCCAGCAGGGCATAAAATGAGCGAGGTCGACGGCACGACAAGATTGCCGCCACCGCCGGTTGTGCAAGGAGCCAACCGTGGTGACGTTTACAAACAATGGAGGACGGAGGTGAACGCACCACCGAGCCGCAAATAGCACCCAACAGCACCCACCGCACGTGTCGTCCGCCCATCCCTTCTTTCTTGTTGGGCGGGAAGAGCCGAGCGATACATTCGTGTTATTTAACTTGGGAGAGTGTTAACTTGATTGCTTTTCACTAATGACGATGAAATAATTCGAGAGAGAAGTAGCTCTCTTGTTCCCACAACCTGAAAGATGTAAAATAAATTTAAAAAAATAGTTGGCAAAACCTACAATGAGACGAAAACTAATAGGTGTTGGTCTACACACTTTCGTTATGGACAAGACGACAGAGAATCAAAAGTGTTTTTTTTTTTTTAATACCACAGTTATGACAACATACTCAGCAGCGTCATTCTAAGGCAATCATCCTCCTACAAGAGTAGCGAAAAGGAGGAAGAAACCCGAAGGAGGAAAGGAACGGATGGCGCCAAGGTCCGTGGAGAGGGAGAAGGAATTTGCCCAAGAATGCGGTGGTGAGTGACATCGTGGGATAAGGGGGGCGGGCCCCCCTGATGGTGGGTGCTGAAGAAAATATCACAGGATGATGACATTTGCCCAAGACAAACTGCGAGCTATACCACCACCACCGCTGCCTGCCATCTGGCCTTGAGCGGGAGCTCGGGTTTCACGCCGCAAGAATGTTTGGAGCGGGAGGGAGGGACAACATGGCGGCCGTCGCCCAGCGAACGACGCCACACTTCGAATACCAAGCTTCCAAAAAAAAAAACTTGGATCGATTAACCTAAAACATTTATATATATATTTTTTTTAATGATAGGATAATTGTTTTTTAAAAAAAATGGGAAGTCGACGTAACAAAAGGGCAAAGAAACGGACGGACGCTGGCAAGATGGTCCGTCCGCTTAGAGAAGTTATTCCCACGTGCGTATTGCGGGGTATACAAGGAAGTTAATTTATCACCACAGTGCCGCCACAATTGCCTACCGTTGTGGAGTAGCAAGGCGGAAAAACGCTCCGTGACGGGATGTGCGCACGCACCAACGACCGCTTCCTCACAACTCGGCAAGTTTTTTTCGTCTATCCGCTATAGCTACCCGCCAAAATCGAAATTAAACAAAATTTTAATATGGGCTACAGTTCGTTTCCTTAGCAAGTCGGTTTCAAAAAATTGATTATCTATATGAGTGCGAGGCTGGTTGCAAAAAAAAAAAGGGGGGGGGGGGAGAAAACATTTTTAAGCCAGACATTTCAATGATCATGGAAAAACAGTTAAAATAATCAGATTCCTCTTATGTACCGCTGAGAAAGGCCATAATACCAATGATAATATGAAAAAGTGGAAAGGATAATATAAATAGCGCCTCCCTTCTCATTTTGAAATCAAGGAATGAGTAAAGTTTAACATTTGTTGTACAGATTATATCTCTCCGTCAATATGAAAAAATCATAATTGAGTTGTCAGAATCCACCCAAATGGGAGCAAGTCACGTGGTAGATTATTTCACCACACCTCAAATAGCTGCTCAGAGAACGGAAACCTATAAAAAGATAATTACGGTGTGCATTCAACATGACCAGAATCATCAAGCCCTCCTCTTATATACTCTCTGAAAATCATTATCACTTCACTTTGAACCGACACATCGCATAAACACTGAAAGACCACAAGTGACTAAAGTATGGGGGGAAGGGAAGTTGTGTTACGGTTATATATACACGCTACATCGCGGGGTATATGGTTTTTTAAAATATAAAAATCATTTCAAAAAAAAAAAAAGTTCAAACCCGGTTCACACAATGCTGAATTTACTCAGTTTACCTTTAATCACTACAATCAACCACGGTTTTACTGTAAGAGCGAAAAATGGCTGAATTCAACACCTACTAGGGTCGACGACCGGGTAGTTTTAAATGATTGTAACATAAAGTCGAAATAATTAGCGTTATAAACGATGTGCATTGTGTGGGCAACAGGACATGTATCCACCATACATCACAGGGGTAGGATTTGAACGCGGGCCAAGAGAGAGAGGGGGAGGGAGAGGGCCACACGTGGTGTGGCGGCGGTAAGTTTCCCAGAATCCCCTCGAGCCTTATCTCTTCTCTCTGTTCTGCCGCCACTGAGCTTATCTGGCGAAGGGACCGAAGGTCCGTTGGCCTCCGAGAACCACCACCACACCACGTCAATACCACTCACCTCACCAGATAAGCACATCTCGCCGTTTTTATTCAGTCTACTCTTAAAATAACTTATAAAACTATTGGTAAGTAAGCCCTCGAAATTCTAAAATGTGAATTACAGAAAAAAATGTTAAGTGTTTAACGTTGTTTTTTGTTGAATCCTAAATTTGTTTTAGTCCGTTTTATGATTTTCGGTGAAAATATATAATCATCCCCGCCAGTAGAGCTAGAAAAAAAACTGGAGTAAAAAAAAGAGGGGCTTAAAAGAACATCCTGAATGTGTACCAGTGGTTCCGCCGAAACGATCGATAGATGGCGCAGCGATCAATGCGGGAACCTCTTTTATAAAACCTTGATATAGGATAGCGAGAGACTTCAAATTGCGTTTGGTAAAAGTCAATTGAAAAAAGGGGGGTAAAAACTCGCATATTTAAAACAATTCTGGTTACACAAAAGATCCCAATGAACTTTTTTCCCTCACTAAGCGCGACACAATTTATACCACTACCGCCATAGTAAAAAAGCAAATTTAACGGCGTACAGAAGGGTGTGACCGACCTAACTAGAACAAAAACATACAATCCGGGTTACAGTAAGGGGGCAGAAGGGAGTAGCGTGAAAGAGCGGAGAGAATCCGGCGTGTGGGGGTTGGCAACCTTGGGAAGGGAGGGCCAAATTTCCGGCGGTGGAGTTCCGAGAAAGTGCGCGGTGGAATGCCGTCGTAAATCTGAGAGGCCGGCGGCAGCGGCCAGCTCGCTGTGCCAATGGAGGTGAACGACCAACTCGCGCGACCGTTGCTTGGAGGATTTTATAAATGCCTATTTATTGCTCTGGTATTGACTACACTACACCGCCCTTTAAAAAAAAAAAACATGGGGTTATTTTGCTACCAAATGCCTGGAACCATCGCAGAGGCGATATCGTAGCCAACGAGAACCTTCGAGAAAGCGATCAGCGCTAACTGCAACTTCGCGCCATTTCTAAGTTAGCCAAAGGATATATATTTTTTGAGAGAGAATGATCAAAATGAAATCCTATTTTTGTTCAAATACACATCATATTTATTGTGTTGGCTTGTTACTTCAGATTCCATGATGGAGAACAGTGACAACGGATACAATGGCTGGCTGATCAGCAGCTTCACGTCTCGATATCTATAATGCAGGAGAGAGAATTTGTATTTTCACCCCATTGTTTCGGGGAAAGCCATATCGTTTTTCCATCCTTATTATAACTTTTATGTTAACTTTAATATAGGTTCATAAATATGTCGCAAATAACAACACAAGGAAGAGAATAAAACATTTTACCCTTCAAGAAATTACATATAGGGTTATACAAGTTTAAAATGAATGAGAATCGAGTAGGAAGAGAAGATGTTGAAAATGTAGGATGATCGAGTAACAACAGGCTGTTCCTTTCTCCCAATACACAGTACTCGGTATGGGGCGAAACACATATAAGATCCAATAAGATGAAAGGCAAACAAAAACCAACCCGATCAAGTACCAACAAACACACAAAAAACATAAATACATATTTATATGTCAGAGGCCTTGAGATACTTGCTGCTGCAACAAACAACCGGGTGGCATTCCATGTCAACAACAATGTCTTCAGTTGTCCACAAAGTAGCTACAAACCATCTTGACATTCCTATATTGCCCGTAACACTTAAAACAATTAGTATTTTACAACATCAGGTCAGTATATCGACTCTTCCAAAGTATGTAATTACTAAGAAGAAGAAGAAAAATGTGGAAAGAAAGCTGCAAGCCCCGTTGAAATCGTACGTTAAATCGGGATATACGCTCGCCAATATAAGTGGAAATTTTCGATTGTGCAAAATTGGATAGTGTATAGTGTGAAATTTTCGATCTTGCAAAATTCGATATTTGAAGGACAGTCAAAATGAGGAAAAGAGCCAATACATTCTTCTTTCCAAATATTATGAGCTGGGCACCCAATAAAGTTACGTTTGAAAAGTAGGTTAAGCCCAACAATTGGAAGATGATATGTGAAGGATGGGGGACAGCAGCAGCCACATGGAGGGAGCAGAGCGTACAATACGGAAGTATTCGTTAGCGCGCAGATCGAAGCGGTAGCAGGCAGGGGAGGGAGGAGGCACATTGATCGTCGTACCGCGGGGGGAGAGAGAGAAGACGGACTTCAATATTAAAGCTGCTCCCTTTCCACTCTCTCCTGGCGGTGGACAACCTTCGAATCGATTAATGCTACCGTCCTTTTGGATGCTGGCACGCCATCGTTAAAGGAAGAAACGAAAATTGCATTTGAACCATGCACACAGAATGCAACAATTTTTCCTCACCTCTAATATGAGCTGGAGTGTTCAAATTCCCATAATTTGTGTGTGGAAGGGGGGAAAAGGCATAAAAAGGGGAAGATGTCACACTTCAGAGATCATTTAAAAAAAGGCATCTAAAGACGTATATTTAGGGATAGGCTTACTTACAACAAAACGGGATGGAAAGAAGGATCGATAACACGGGGATGATGGCAACCCCCCCCCCCCCCTCACACACAACCAACTTCTAGCCGCAGTCTCAAGAGATAAGTTAGGAGCGACGTCAGAACAGTTTTGCAAGACCCATCACCGCCGCCTCTTTGATAAAAAAAAATTAAAAGTAGAGAGAGAGAGAAGGCGATAAGGGTTGAAGGCCACCCGACCTCCCACGTGGCCAGCAGCAGGCTTCCTTTCAAAAGTACCGACTTCCAAGTATAGAATAAAATATACTCCCGACATCTATCCACTGATATTTTACACATGGCAAATGTCTCCATCGGCGCAGGCCATTAATCTTCCTTCCACTTTCCAATCGACATTTAACTACACAAGAAGCTGTTAAAATAATCTCCCCCGATGCTGGATGGGGAGGCGAAAGTTCCCCAATTAGTATGAAGCATTTGGCGGCAGAGGAAAAGAAGATGAAGGATATATGAACGAAAGGACCAGGTTTTCTACGAAAGAGGTATTTTTATAACTAGGAACTTTTTTTTCCCTTTTGATTACTGAATTGCCATTCCCGTTAGAATTAGTTCCACAGAGAATCGCTTCCGACGAAGCATTTTTCATCTTGGGCGGACGCTTGTTGATGAGATCGACCTTTTTTGACGGGTAGTAGGAATGTGGCATTGGGAGAAAGTAGAGGACCATCGTGGATAAACGTAGAGCACTTTCACAAGTTTTACCTGTTCTTCAAATACACTCAGCGAGGAATATAAAGCACAAGGGATAATTCATTTAAGACATAATTTCAAACTGCGTTCAAATTTTCAGATGACAAAACCCTGTTCTATTAAAACTACGATATTTTTTTCAAATGCACCTTAACTTAACCATTATCCTCTAATGCACTCTCTCTCTTTTTAAATGTTTTTTAATTTTATAAATATTTATTAACGAGAGCACAATTTAGAACTAACCTAAAATATTATACAAAGAGCATATAATTTTTAAAACTGATTAGGAATATATATGGAGTAAAAAATGGTATTTTTTTTTTACAGGAGCCTTTCATCATGTTGTGTAAATGTATTGTGGTACGGGGATTACACCATGTAGACAAGAGGTTGGCTGGCATCGAATGAATGTCGCCGTTGTGCTCGACAAGTGGCCACTTGGTCGACATGACGCTACCAGTCGGGCGTTACAACCCTCTAGAAGAAGAAGAGCACCACCACCACCACGGTGGAGAGATGGGAAAAGAACAACAAAAATCGGTCGATCGAAAGCGGGCGGGAGGATCGATGGGAGGACCCCCCCCCGCAAGACTTGAGTTACAACTTGACGGCCATTCGAGGGGAAACGGTCGTCACACCGTTGGTTGCGCAACAACCACGCCGTTTTATTCACCTCCACACATCGCAACCGGACATCGACCGGTCGACACGGTAGCACAAAATACAATCCCGAATTCACATTTCTCTTCCATCCACAATGCTGGACGGGTGACGCCCCCTTCCCCCCCTCCCACAAGCGCGCCAAAAATTACGCTGAGCGTCATCACGTGACCCCAGCCTACCACACGAGGGAGGTTAAAACCAAAATCCCATTCATAACCGCCCCATTTCTTTTTTTTTAATCGCATTTTCCCCCTATACTACTTGTTCTCCTAAGTTGCCAACCTACATGAAAGGTATAACTCTAAAAATCACATTGATAGAATAAATGAAGAAGGATTTTTTTTTCTATTTTATTTTTCCCCCCAATAAAATGTTGAATTGTTTTAGGAGAGGAGTTAGGCGAGCGGGAATTGAATGGCAA